ACAGACTGTTGGAGATAAAAAAATAATAATTACACATTATATGCGACAGTGTATGGAGATAAAAATAATAATTACACATTATACGCGATAGTGTATGTTTTTAACATGTTGCTAGAGATGCTCTAAGTGAATGTAAATACGTTCAGGGACGGACCTATTACCAAGTGAAGGGGGCAATTGCCCCCCTGAATTTTTATTTTTTTTACTAATATATCATTTTTTTTTCTTCCTTTTTTCAATATATACCCCTAAAATATTGCTAATGCTCTCTTGAAATTATTACAAAATTTCAGTCTTGCTCCCCCTTACCTAAAGTTCTAGGTCCGTCCCTGAATACGTTGCCCTTTTTGCCATGCCAAGTTTATGTTTTAAGAGACTGCTAGAAATGCTCTAAGTGAAAGTGAATGTTGCCCTTTTTGCCAAGCCCGGTGACTTCATCTTCTAATGAAGTATTTGTAAATATTTTCAACAATTTTAGTTCAGTGTGCAAACAAGAGAGGGCCAAGAGAGTTAGAAATAATTGATTGGTTTAATTTTCTTAGAATAAATTTGTATCTCTAAATAATTAAAAACAGAGAACAATTCAAAACGAATCTGTACATGCTTTCAATTTTCATTGGTCTTCAAGCTAATATTTTCAACATGAGAAAATAAATTGAAGTTCTGCATCTTTTCAATCAAAGGGAGGATAGTTCATGAATATCATTGAGGCACCGATAATGTTGTTGCCCCATCTAGCGTGATTATGTTGAGATGAATAATTATTTCAATCATCAATAATAATAATAAAAAAACTAAAAAAATTTACTTGAGATAGCAATTGAACAGATTTGAATCAAGTTATAAATGGGTGAGTAATAAACCAAATAATAACTCAATATCAACCCATTTTAATAGGTTATAAACGGAACAAACATTAAATGGACAGGTAAACGCAGGCTTGATCCTAGTACATTTTTACAATATTTAAATAAAATAATTAAAGAAAAAATAGGAATTTAAAATTATATGTATGTATTTGATATATTTTGAAAATACATACATATAATTTTAAAATTAGCCGGTGCACTAGTTTATGTAGTAAGAAATAGGCCAAGTGATGAAACGTACGTTCAAGATATTCTAATTTTTGTCGATCGGAGGGTCCAGATTTGTTCTCCCGCATGAATTGTTTGGCATTTGATCTCCTCCATCCATAAAATGATAAAATCCCCGTGTGATAAAATCCAGTATATGTATAGTAGGGTCACAACAAATGGTCCATATGGTGAGTAGTAGAGTTATATACATATTTGTATGTGTATGTGTGTGAATCTGAAGGGTGTAATGAGTCAAGAATTAGACTATCTTTCAACACTCCTTGAACAAAGAGTATTTTAAAAATTTTATAAAAAAATATTAGTCAAAATCAGTGATTAACATATATTAAAAAAATAATTTACACATATTTTCAAATGTGATTATATAAGGCTACCAATGTCAAGCCAACCACCACAAATTCTTGAATTAATTTGGAGTATGTTAGATCATTAAAAAATAATTTACACATATTTTCAAATGTCCCAACATCACTTGTTGCACCGAATTATATATTTTTATCTTTCTTTTCCTTTCTTTTTTCCTTCATTTTGGCGGCCTAAAATAATGTCTCAAGTGAATAACGGGACTTGAAGATTGGGATAATTGCTAAATTATGTTTAGTACTATGTAGATATTTCGATAGTCCAGTGAGTTAGTACTTTCTGTAAATTTTGGAGTGTCAGATTTTAACTCTCTCTATCTATTAAATAACTCCTAATCCTTCTTATCTTGTAAAAAAAAATTGTTTAGTACTAAAAAAATAAATTGAATTATTAAAATTTTTAAAAAAATTCCTTAGACGGTATTTCAATTTAGCCGTCTTGGAATGAAACATAGCAAACTTGAGACTATCAACTGACACGTGTATAAAAAAAGAAAAAGAAAAAAAGGAAGTGTTCTTACCTATGCGCGCATAATTTGAGACTGCCCAATTTTTTTATTTTTTTAAAAAAGACAATAGTTGGTGAGTTTAGTTGTCTTATTCTTTATGAGAGTTCATATTTTGTGTGTGCGTGAATAATTCAAGGGAAAAAATGTGTATGAACAAGCTTTAATGTGTAAAATCATAAAGAATGATAGGAAGACTCAAAAACCATGAAATTGAACAGTAACATTTGAAAAAAACAGAGCATCAAATGAATATTTCAATTCAATACACTTTTTAGAATAAGAAATGGCAATAAACAAAGACATCAAAAACTTGATTGTTGAATATTTTAATTTGGAAAATCTACGTGGGAATACAATGTAATAGTGGTTGGAGCTCAAATCAATCTTCTACAGCCTTAACTTGCAATCATGTTTTTGTTAATTTTTATAGTGATGTTTTAGACGATAAATGTTTCTTTTTATGAAGTTTTTGTGGGTAATAATAGTTTTTTTTGTTGTGGATGCAGTGTGGAAACGATTCTTCAATGTTGACACTAGTGTCTAGTTGATTTCACATATCTTGGTACTACCGCAAAGATTTAGCTTTCGAATTATTACTTGGTTGGATGTTTAGAATATTATTTAATTATGGAACTTGACAAACTAGCTACAATATTTTTGCAGTGTATCTTGTTTTTCTTGGTCACCATCATCTTTTTCTCAATTTCTATTTTTGGTAAATAGTTTTTCTCATTTTCTTTAAGAACTTGTGAATACTTTTTTAATAGGGATTTTTTTTTTTTTTTTTTTCAATTTGCCTACAAAAAATAAAAGGGTAAATTATACTAACCCGAGATTTCATTAACATGGACAGACCTCCCCTAAAATGAAAGCCTCAGTGCTCTGGCCAAAGAGGATTATACCACTTGATTATACTAACCCGAGATTTCATTCTCCTGTTTTTTTTCTTCTCCATTTTTTTTCTGTAAAAAAAATAAAAAACATCTGGCTTTTAATTTCAATGACCTTTCTTACATATTTCGTTAGGATCATTGACTGATAAGTCACATTTACCTATTTTTTTGCTGAAGTCAAAAAGAAGAGAAATTTATAAACCAAATCAAAACACAGTGACACCGGCGTTACACATCTACATATCTATATCTATAAAGTTTGACCCCGTTTTATTTTTTTGGGCAAGCTGATGGATAATGGAACAGATGGAATACCAAATATGAAGGACAACGTCATAATGCAATATCTGTTTGAGCAGAATGTCATATCACTCACGATACAAATTAGTAAAATATCAAATTATAACACAATTATGGTGGGGGCAACATAATTACGAGAGGGAAAGACAAGACTCAGATTGAAATCAGTCCGTTTTGTGTTTATTTTAAGACAAACGATAGTCCGTCGTCGTTGAAACCTGTAACTGCCATCCTCGCCTTTGTTGAAGTTTTCCTTGATCATCATTATCGTCGATCATTGTCCGCCGCCGATCATTGGGTGGTGAAAACGCGCTGAGGCTTGAGAAGTTGCTGAAGAGCCCGAGTTTCAAGGACAAAGCGATGTTATCAACGCTCATTGGGAGTCTAATTGGATCTAGTGCTGCATGCTTTGAGTCAAAAAAAAAATTGGAGTCACGATGTTTTTGTGGGTATTTTGTTTTGTTTTCGATGATCTCTCATTGCTATAATAACTATATATTGGATTTCTCATTTAGAATGGTTAATCAAATTCTAAGTTTATATTTTCAAGAATATACCTTTATGAAAGATGAATTGAATTAACAGGTCAGTGGCTTCACGGTACCAAGTCCCTACTTTTCAAAAAGAGATTAAGGGTTCGAGTCTCAGTGAAGACATGTGTATGTGAGTACCAACTAAATATATATATATATATATATATATATATATATATATGAATTGAGATTACTAAATAAAAATAGTTACAGAAACATTAGCATTTGTGTTATTTTATTTATTTTTGTCTCCTAGTAATTCATCTTTGTGATTATATTGTTGATATTCAATTCTGTTTTCGGTTTACTCTCTCTTTATATATATATATATATATATTATTTTTCACACACACACACACACATATATATATTATGTACATATATTTGTGGTAGTTTGTTGGATAATCTGTAATATTATGATTTTCTAGTTACTTCAATCAATTTTTTCCCTTGTCACAATGTTTGATTTGGTGGCTGGTGGGTGAAGAAAGAAGAAGAGGGTTTGGAGGGATGGACATTTATTAGGGGGGTATTTTTGACATTTTAAATTTATGATATTTTGAATTAAAATATCTTTAAAAATTGATGGTATATACGACATTTCACATTTTTGTAACGGCGTCATTGACGAAAAAATAAATTTAGACATAAGCGACAGTAATTTTCAAAAGATATTTCAATAAGATATTTAACTAAATTTGAGGGGATGCCAGTGAAATTAATCCTAAAAATAATTTTACGCTGACTTGTTTGAGCAAATTACACACATTACACTATTTATCATTTATTACTATGATCTCCTTTAAATCTTTTTACTGCATACCGAAAGATGATCTTGAGTGTGAAAACTCTAATATATCTTGATTTTTATATAAGAAAAGTGCAAGATTTTCATACAAAGAAAAAATAAAATTGTCATTTTATAAAATTTGGTTAACAAATTCATCAGAAAAATAATGAAATCTCAGGAGAAGTCAAAATAATAAATATTGAATGGTGTAATTTGTCCAAACATTAGGGAAGATCGGTGTAATTTACTCAAATTATAAATTACTTAATATTATATTATTATTGAGTTATTTTATTTTTTTCTTTCAAGTATTGTTCTTGGGCCATACCGCATGGAACTGGAATCATGTCCGTGTCCATTCTTGTAGCCGAAGGAAGGTGGTCCCACTGACAGACACGCCATTGTAGACATGTATTGTAATAATTTCTCCGAACCTGCAACACCATACAATGCAAAATTTTCAATTTCTACCAAAAATTTGCGGGAGCTATAATGAACATTGATACAAATAAGACGCTGTAACTTTTTTTAAACGGTTATCCTTCGAACCTTAAATATGAAACGGTTACATTCGTATAAACAAATAGATACATACAACGATACACCGATTATTTTAAAATTATTCTAACGCTCTACAGTGTAGGGTGTGTTACGTCCGTCTAACGCATAAACCCTCTGCCTGACCAGACCATCGTCTTAAATCTTCAGTGGCGTCTTTCATAGAAATAGTATCGACATGGTAGAGAAAAAGATTTTCGTCGTTCTTTGCTTCCACCATTAGATCTTCTTCAGGTTCGTGAGCTTTCTTTTTTCTCTACTGTTTCTCTTTTCGGCAGGGTTTTTGGTTTGTAGAATTGAACGGTTAATCGATCGCCTCTCATATCAGATCGGATCACAAATTTCAGCAGATAAGCTTAACAGGGTCTTGAGGTGAGCCGATTTTTGAGGGTTTTCTGTTCTGAGACTTTTTGGTGAATTTATGTTTTATACACACATAAATATTTATATATATATGTGTGTGTGTGTGTGTATGTATATAAGTATATATACTATATACATATTAACGTTAGTATGTAAGATTTGGTCACTGTGATTGTCTGCCCCCGTAATTCAGCTATGTCTTCATTCGAATTTTTGGGATTTTTTTTTTGAGTTAATGTTGTTATTTTCTTGTGGGTACACAGGGATTGTTGTTTTTCACACCGTGGCAATAGAATATATACAAGGACTGGTTGAAGATTGAGATTTTCATTTAATACTATTGATTTTAGTTATCAATGGCAGCTCCTGGCGGAGCTAGACCAGGCAATACACGGCCCAACTATAGCCCCAATTATCTTGCTGATAATATGCAAAACCTACAAATCAACCGCCCTGCTGGTGGCTCTAGACCTGCTCCTCCTTTTCGGCAGCAATCCCCACCTTTCCCTTCATCAGCTCCTCCTTCGTCTCCATTTTCAGTAACCCGTCCTGGACCACCCCCACAGGGCGTCCGTCCAAGGGCTTCAGTGCCTCCTGGGGGACCTCCACAAGCCACATTGTCCCCGGACATGGCTTCCAGTAGGCCCTCTGGACCTTCCATTACTCGGCCTCCTCCACCTTTTGGGTCGAGGCTTCCACTTCCTGGGTCTATGCCCCCTTCTATGGGCAGTCAGGGTGTGCCCCCAACTGGGGCACATCCTGGTGCCTTCCCATCTTTTGGACAAGTGGCAGCCCCTCTGGGTCCTCGTTCTGGCCCTTTTGCATCTTCCTCTTCGATGACAGGTTTGGCTATGCCACCTTCAAGCACCCACAGCCCTATTAGTAATGGAATACCTGCATTTGCCTCGGGGCCTCTGCAAGGTGGACCTCGTTTCGCTTCAACTGGCAGTTCTCCGCGACTACCAGCTGGACCTCCACGATCAACAATGTTCTCTGCTGTAGATCATGCACAGGCTCCAACTGTGCGTTCTCTTCATGGAAGTCTACCTGCCAGTGCATTTCCAGATTTTGTGCAGCCAGCCTCGCCAATTTTAGCATCACCACAAAGTGTGCCACTACCTTCTGGTTCCTCACCATTTTCAGCAGCACCACGTCAAGGTATAGGTCCGGCTTCAGGTTTTCCATATGGGCCACAAACAAGACCAATGCAACCACCGCATGTGAGCTTCAAAAATCCCATTTTCTTTTTTTGGAAGTACTTATTTATTTTGTTACTGTTGCCATAATGAATCATGCTGTTATTAAGCGGTTTGGTTGATTATCTGTTGGAATCGAACTTGTTTTGCTGCTGTGTCTTCTTGTTTCATGATGAATAATTTATGTTAGTTCCATGTTTTTATTTTTTTTATTTTTTTTTAAAAGAGTTCATTTTCCCTTGAACATCTATCATCCACAAACAAAAGCTAATTGATGCTACATGAATGTATCATCTGTCATTTATGAAGAAATGCATCTTACATGTATTAAAAAAAGGAAGGATGTACATGATGTCAGCTGTAGGTTGAGGAAGCTCCGGCAGGTCTTGGGTGGGAGGCATATTTAGGTAAAAAATTAAGGTGGAAATTACTGGAAAGATCCTTTGCGATAATTGCCCATATCTTTCTACTATTCTTCTAAAGCACCTTTAAGCGATAATTGCCCATATCTTTCTACTATTCTTCTAAAGCACCTTTAAAATGCTTTCTTTGTTTCACTTTGGGGTAACAGTTCCTATCATTTTAATCAAGTGACCAACTTTACAAAGGGAGGAAAGTGGTAATTACACCATAGTTTTAGGGGAGGTAGTGACATTCTGTACACATAGAAGGTACAAGATATTTTTGAAAGGCCTCTGGCAGGGGTCTTTTCCCGAGAATAAAGAATGGAGGAAGGTGTACTCTAGTTGTTAACTTTTTCCGAAGATTTCCCATAGTTGTTATAGTTTCTACTTGTGCGTTTGAAGGTATTAGTTCGCTTATTTATGTTCATTGAGGGTAGAGGTTACTGGTGCTGATGAGGAATTAAACCCGGTTGATGGGTATTTTAGATTACAATGACAATGCATGTTGAAGTTTTGGCCAAATCTGGTTTAAACGTGTTTTAGATTTTTTACCATATGATTTATGGTTTTGAAGTATCCTAAATTAATGTAATCAAGTTAGATGTTTGGTATCTAAGAAACCTCATGCGCAAAAAACAGTGTGATTAAATTGTGGATATTGAGATAAATGTGTTAGAAAACGAGAAAGAATAGAATCATATTTGAGTGCATTTGTGAAATGATTTTGAAATCAATCTAAGTTGAATAGATAAAATGATTGGTTACATGCTAGGAAGACCAATAACAATATTAATCAGGAGGTGTGAGATGCTCCATGTTAGGGGTATGCCAGGGGAAGGGAAAGAAAAAAATTAGCGCATAGGATAGCAAGAAAATATATGTCGCGTGTGGTTTAGTTAAAGTTACATTTGTAAACGGAGTTAAAATTACGTAACATGATTCACGTGGCTGACGAAAATGGTTTTGGTAGTCTGGTCGGCTTTTTTTGAGTAAGGTCAGTTGGATCACACTACAAGTAAAGACCTCTAATCGTAATATAATTTGCTGTTATGGTGTATAATAGCCTGTATGCAACAATACGACTTGGTCTCTTGGGTTTAAATTTCAATCACAAATGGTTTTTTTATCGGTTGTATTAAAATTCACTGTACACCGTGTGCATCCGAATATGGTTTGTTACCTTACCATTTATCATGGACTGTTGCATAATTTATGTTAGGACCAGTGAAAGATTGTTCTGGTCTGAACAGGGTGTTGGAGCCTATTTGTTTTTCTTTCTTACCTTTTTCTTTTTGCCTTTTTTCTTTCTGAGTTTGTTTCTATTTTTAATGCTTCTAAATTTTATTCTCAAGGTAGTTTAACCCCATTGAGACAATATTAGTTTATAAGCTCAATGTTTAAGTTGATTCTCTTGGAATAAATAACTCGGTTTTAATCATAAATAATTTGTATGTTTATGATATGATAAGTTACAAGTAATGATATATTATTGGGTAAATTGCAAAAAATCCCCTTGAACTATTAGTTTGGCTTGACGAAAAACCCCTAAACTATAAAAAATTTACAAATAAGGCCATGCCGTTAGTTAACCGTTCATAACAATGTGAAAAATACGAAAATACCCATCAATCAAACAACGTTATCTTGTTACAGTTTCTTATTATTCTTGTTCATCTCTCTTCATCACAAGACCCTAATATGTGTCGGGATGTGTGTGTATATATTATTGATTTGTGATTTGCAATGCTTGTTTCACTAAGATTCCTATTTATCAGTGCATGGCTACTCATTTTTTTGGATACTAAATAAAGCTTTATATGCATTTCTTTTTTCTTTAATCTTGAATATGGATTCTGAATATAGTGATTTTGTTTAGGTGGCTCCACATCCACCAATGCCTGGTTCTGTACAACCACCCAGAATGTTTGGAATGCCACCTTCGCTTCCAAATCAATCTATGGGTTATATTGGAGCCTCTATGACAGGGCAATCAAAGATAGATCCAGATCAAATTCCGCGACCCATTCCAAGTTCTTCTGTGATTCTGCATGAAACTCGTCAGGGCAATCAGGCCAACCCTCCCCCGGTATGTTATCTTATCTGTAACTTTAAAAAGAAGGAAAATACATTGTTTGATGTGAGATCTGCTAGTTTTATTTATAACTCATAGACTTCAGAGTCTGTTATATATTTTTTTTATTTTGTCTTTTTTGGGTCTACTATTCACATTTACATATTCAGGCCTTAATAGGATACATACTAATGCATGCCACGATAAAATATAAACTATTGCCTGTGTTGATATGTTATACATTGATGCATGACATGATATGATATATACTGAAAAGTGTAGGACAAGTTATTGTTCGTTACTTCTGATTACTTGTTTTCTTTACTCACCCCTTTTTTCCCTTGAAGCCTGCTACAAGTGATTATATTGTCAGCGACACTGGAAATTGCAGTCCCCGATACTTGAGGTGCACTATCAATCAGGTCATGATTTGGATTAAGAATGTCCCCCTCCCTACTCTCTCTCTCTCTCCCCTCCATGCATTGGTATTGCACTCTTATGGTTGCTTGTTCTAAGTTGGTTTCTTGTGTCGTTTCAACAGATTCCATGCACTGTTGATCTTTTGACAACATCCGGGATGCAGTTGGCTTTATTGGTCCAACCCTTGGCCCTTCCTCATCCATCTGAAGAGCCCATCCAAGTAATGCTTGATTAATTTCTGTCTGACCCTTATTTTATGTTTTGTCTTTGTAAATAGTTTTTTTTTTAGTTAGTGTAGGTTTATTTTTTCTTTTTTCTTTCTTAAATTACTAAGTCATCCAAGCCAGTGAATTATGAAGTCTTAATTGTCTGAATTTTAGAGCAACATCAAACACTGTTGCAATTGTTAGAGTTGTTGGGAAATTGAGTCATGTCTTGGCTAATTCCTAGACATAACTTGGTTGTAGTTGTACAAAATCTATGAGTAAGTATGCAATTGAAGACGATAAAGATGAAGGAACAATGAAGATTACGTGGAAAGTTCATCAGGCTCGATTGTATGATTTTGAAGGTAACTGAGAGACCTTAATGGATATAAAAATCTATGCTGTATGATTTAGACAAGTTGGACTACCCATGACATAGTCTTTTTTAGCAAAAAATGTGGTCAAAATATACTTTTACCTAAATAATAAAGAAATTTTAAAAAGGGATCTTCGATTGACTGAACCCAATCGAACTCTGGCCTGACAGTCAATAAAACAACAGAATGTGTCAATTGCAACCTGGATCGGTCATTCCATCAGTCGTATTCCTTTGGAGTTCTTCACTTGATTGACCTTGAACTTTGATTAATCGATTGCCAGCAGTTCTGTTTTTCTTTTTACGATATTTGTTTATAATAATAGGATAACAGTTCCCTGTTTTGTCTCTGACTCATGTATAAACTCTAAAAACCTGCTTTAGTTGGTCTAGGGTGAGAATGAGGAATAATATAGAGAGAAAAAAATAGATAAAATACGTATCTGCTTAATGATAAACCTGCATTGGTCTGTTTGTTAGCAGTTCTGTTTTGTCAGGAGTTTCTGTTGCTTGCTAATGACAATTCTCAATTGTTGAAGTAAGAAGTTTGATTGATAATTTTCAATTGTCAAAGTAAGAACTTCAATTGATAATTTTTAATTGTCAACCAACTGGGTGATTCTAAAGTATAACTAATGATCAAATAACCAAAGGAGAGCAAAATCTTTTGGAGTAGAAGTTTGTTGATCGACAGTGGCAGTGTCTATGGGAGAGCATCATGCTAAAGTTTGGATCAGATTCCAACGGTGTAGGGTTGATACGTTGGGCTTTAACCTTTCTCATATAGTGGATCATTCATAACTTGACCGAAGGTCCTGTTATTCATTTTTAGGGTTGTCCAAGTGAATTTTGGTGTCTTTGATTTTGATTTATTGCTTCATTTGCACGAATTATATATCTATGATAAAGTAATCTAAAGTATGGCTGAATATCAATTTAGTCAAACTAATGATGATGATGATGATGATGAAAATTCAAAGAGTTCTTATAGATGTTTAAGAAGTTTTAAAGGCCTATTAACCCTCCAGTAGGTCTAGTTTAGAATCGTGTGTAGTCTAACATAACACAGCCTGTGGTGACTGACACTTCAGGAGTTTCTATTGCTTGCTAATGATTGGAGTCTTTACCCCATTTACAGTTCTCCTAGCTACTTGGCCCATTGGAATACAAGGAAACTTGTTTCATCGACGCTGAACTTTCTTTCCTGTCTGTACAAGTAAATCTCTACATGATAATTTGAAGTGATTATGGAACTTTTGATGCTAGTTGGTTTGAAAAAATCTTAAATCAAGGTTTAAGAATAACCTGAGCCTATAATGTATTAAGATTTTGCTCAAACTCATAAAGTATATGTTGGTGTTAAAGCTTTTGAAAATTTCAAATACAAGTGTAAAAGAGCTCAAACATGTGTTTTTTCTCCCTTCTCTCACTTATTTGTATCTTTTCTATGACTTATTAAGTCCTCCATGTTGAGAACAATTCAGAACCTTTTCAAAATAGAAACAATTTCATTAGCAGCCTGATTCTCTTGCATCTGTGCTTATTTTCTTGTCAAACTACAGGAGTGCATTACAGTTATACATCAGGGCCTTACTTTTTGTTTTGTGTAAAAAATTCCAGAAAAATCTCCTAGTGTTCTATTTTAAAATAAACGTGATTTTAGGAATTCAAAACTACTTAAGACACCATTTGTTTTTTTCAAAAATAAAAGTTTCCAGAAACTTGTAAGATAATGGTAATCCAAATCAAATAAGATTTATCCTAGGTCAACTTTATCAAAAAAAATTCTTATCTTAATGGCGTGATCAAAGTCGATGCTAGTTCTTGATTGCAAACATTGAAATGTCCATCTGATCTCATCCATTCTATCCAATCTTTGATAATCACTTTCGTTACCAAAGGTAAGTCAACATGGTTTTTGTTCCAAAGTAACTTAGAATAGATCAACCAATTACAACACAATTTGACGAGAAATTTGCCAACCAAATGACACTGAGCCCTAACAACTACTGTCATCAGTTTGGTGATCATGGTACAATGTTAAAAGCATCTTTGTTTTACCAACAGGCTAGTGGCCTAGTGGTTCCATGCCCCTACTTCCCAAAGGGAGGTCGGATTTGAGCCTCAATGGAGGCATGTGTGTGTGAGTACCAACTAAGAAAAAATTAAAGAAAAAGAAAAAGCATCTTTGTTTGTCAATTGAGAATCCATCTTTTTTCTTAGCAAAAAAGAGTTTGAGATTGATTTCACGTTAAAAAGCCTTGTAATTTAGTCAAAATATCTTCTTCTTCTTCTTCTTCATCTTCTTTTTTTTTTTTAAGTTGTTATCATGCCAAACTTAGAAAATTTCTTTGTCTGCTTTCTTGGCTTGGTAGGAAATTTCAGTTTCATTGTTGTTTGCTTTGACCTTTATCTTGTATTATATCAATAAGTGATTGCTTTAATTTAAAATTAAATGAAAGTAGCATACATAATTTTTAATGTGCAATTTACCTTTTATATGTCATTTATTTCTTTTATAGGTCTTGGATTTTGGGGAAAGTGGTCCTGTTCGATGTTCTCGTTGCAAAGGCTACATAAATCCTTTCATGAAGTTTATTGATCAGGGAAGGCGTTTTGTCTGTAACTTATGTGGTAAGTATAAATGATGCCCATCTAATACTTCCGTAACCTAGTAATTCGGTTTCATTTTATGCTATTAGGTTTCATTGTTGTCAGGACTTTTTTGCTATTGACATAATTTTTGTTTTAGTTAAGACTAATAATTCATCTATGGTCCTTCCACATTGTTGTATATGTTGAAAATTATTGGATTGGATGTGTACCATAGTTACGTCTTATGGAAATAAGAATCTTTATTAGGTGTATTATATTTAAGATCAATAATTCATTCTGGATGTGTATTATAGTTAGGTCAATAGGACTTATGTCGGCAAATTTTGTACGAAATGGAGTCTGTATGTTTTATTTTAACTAATGTATTTATTTATTTTATGATTTCGAAGGTTAGTTATGTTAGGCAGTTGAGTTACCTCTACCCAAGGGTGAAGCGGTAAATCCATGTGTTGAATGTCTGGCGTGAGTCTGGGTCAGAAATAACTAGGGAATTCTTGAATTTAGAACCTAGTTTTGTAACCTTTCTTCACTTTGCGGATTTGATCTGCTTGAATTAGGTCTCGTGATTTTTTCCCTATAGGTTTTTACATAGAAAAATCTGTATTCATCTGATGCGTGTGGATGTTCTATTTCTTATATTTTTGCACTCTGAGTCTCTGACCATACATGTTAGTTGAAATTTAGTTAAGTTAGTTTAAGTTTAAATTTCTGTTAAGTGTAGTTAATTTGGTTTCAAGACCTATTTGCACTGCCTTTAGGTCTATTTCGAGCTTTTTGAGTATACTCCGATTATCAGAGCCTAGGATATCCTCATGTGTCATAGGGTTGCATTGATCTAATGTCATCCATCCGTAGTCCCTAAATGTGGAACTTTATGCAGTTTAATATTCTTGTAGTTCTTGTCAATAATTCACTTATGTTTTTACTTATCAAAAAAAAATTCACTTATGTTTGAAAGTAAATTGCACGAGTCTGAGAAACATGTGGTTTGGTCGTAATTTGCTCTATGAAAATAGATTGTGTAGTTATGAAGGTTGTGATGCAGCATTTGTCATTTATTTTATAGGATTTACGGATGAAACTCCCCGTGACTACCATTGCAATCTGGGTCCAGATGGTAGGCGTAGAGATGCTGATGAAAGGCCTGAGCTATCTAGAGGAACTGTTGAATTTGTAGCTACAAAGGAATACATGGTTAGTATCCAATAAGGTTATATGGTCATATACAAAGTTCAATTTGCGGTTGTTTTGGTCATCGTTGTTTTTCCCGGTGATGTGTGGGACACTCATTACTTTTCCTGACATGATACTTGTGTCCAAAGCCAAGTTGGATACTTTTCCAACTTGTTATATCTAAAAAATTATGAAGGATTGAGTCGTAAACTTGAACTTCTTCTTATGAAGGGTATCTCTACATTCCTCAAATCTGGCATCACAATTTTAATATAATTATTATAAAGGTTCCATCAATTAACTGCATTCCCATACCTTACCATGTCAACATCCATAAATGCAACTTGATAACCATTGTATGTGTTGCATAGAGCTGATAAAGTATGTTGGGAATTTTGTCTCATATTCCTAGTTCAATTAGGTTTCTATTTTAGAGTTGTATTTTATAAGGTAATTTCTTGTAAGGCAAGTCCTAGGCTCCAAAGAATTGTAATCCTTGTCCAACAAGGAATTATAGTTGTAACTCTATAAATAGATACATAGGTTGTGGGTTGAGACATATGAGATTGAGAGAGATGTAGTCTTATGAGGGAGTTGATGGGTAGATATAGTTTATGGGTTGGTAGAGTAGGGAAAACACTGGGCACACTGGTAGCGAGGAGATAGGCTTGTGGAGTGGTACATGTTGAAAAGAGATGTACGCGGTGTTGGTACTTTTCTGTTGTAATATCTCTACAGAAGTCATAGTGGAATCTCTTCTCATCCGTGGATGTAGATCGGTTTTGGTCGAACCACGTTATATCTTGTGCTTTTGTGTGATTGCTTTCTTGGGTTTTAATGGATCTTGTTATTCATGCGTTTCCGCTACCCCAACAAGAGGTTATACCTTCATGGCTTTTAAAGGTTCTTTATGTGACCATTTTCCAATCTAAGGGCCTTTTGTGAAAGAAAGATGAATGGATGCCATGTTGGGTTTGAATGATGTTCTCAAGGGTTGCAAAACTGTATCCTAACTCATAGGGAGGATACAGTTTGTAGAATGGGTATGAAAGGTTATGAACATGTGCAGTGGATTTTTTATTTCTTTTATCATGTGATGGAGATGGTTCATGTAAGGGGTGGGATATAGATTTATTTATTTATTGATAGATAAGGTGGGATATAGATTTATTGTAGTTGATATAATATGGCTTTGAAAAAAGATGATATTTGACCTTCCTGTCTTCCAGTCTTTCTTTTCTCTGGTCTTGGTGGATGTCTCTATTATAATTGCGTCTAGGTCCTAGACAATATCTATTAAAATAGCTAGGTGTAACAGGTGGGTGCTTTGCGATCCAAACCAAAAGCCTCAGCTATTAGATGGGGCTAACACTCAACCCATTTATACCCATTTCACTTTCTATCCGAATCCAATGTGGGACAAGTCTTCCCTTGTAACATTCTCTCGCACCCGAACTCGCAATGCCTTCGTTGCGGTCGGGCCACCCTGCCTACCCGGGTGGCTCACCTGGACGCCTTCCGGGCCTGGTGCTTGGCGTGGCACCGGTGGGTGCTTTGCGATCCGATACAAAAGTTTAAGCTGTTAGATGGGGCTAACACCCAACCCATTTATACCCATTTCACTACCCATCCAAATCCGATGTGGGACAAGTCTCCCCTTGTAATACTAGGGTAGATCATCAGTATCCCACTGAATTTGTAATGATTGAAGACATAGGATCTTGGTGTTGCATCTTTGTTTTAAAGATGATGTTGTGTTGTTCAATTGTCCACCCATTAAGTTTGGGTATATAAGTGATTAATCAAGTGTATATATTTATGTTCTCCAAATTAATCGTGAAGTTCTGCAAATGTGATGGTATATATCCTATTTCTTTTCAGATCATCTTCTCGTATTTTGTCATGTTGCCAGTGCATTTGTCTTCAATGGGATTGTCCATGCAAATGACATTAATGATTTAAATTAATTTGGAATCAAATAACTTTTAGTCTAGTTGAATTCAAAATTTTAGGAGGACGGACTCGAACATCAGAGCCTCTTTGTTCAGTCCAATTTGTTTTTGTTGTTGCTTTTTAATTTTTAACCAGAGTTTAAGAGGAGGGTACACAAAGTCTAATCATTGTCCAGATAAGTTGGATGCATTGATTGGCTTAATCTAGATGTATACTACCGAATATAGTGGGATATGATGACACAATTTTTACAAGCTATCAACATTGATGTTATATCTATCTAAATCTTACAAAAAAAATGTAAAACGACCAGCATCTCATGGAATGATATGGAGGATCACTTGCGAGTAATGAATTTGCAATAATAGATTGGTGTCAGTAATGAGTCGGATCAGATGGATCAAATAATTTAGCTCACATTACATATCAATTAAACAGCACACACTTCTACACGAGATCCATGTCTCTGCTGGATACATATTTGGTTTGGACTCAGTTCTGACACAGCTAGGCATGCCTGATCATTCCATAATGTCATAGCATTTTATCAATTTAGAACTGATTGGTTGCGATGAATGGTCTATGCGGAGGCCGAGCTTTTACTGAAAATGAGGCCTTCTTTTGCAAGGTAAGTTTGTTTCATGCAAGGAAAACATATTGGTATCAATCTAGTTATTTGGCAGGATCTGTGGTAAAATTGATAGCATCTTTTGGCTTTATGTTGACTTCTGGAGGATGTAGAATTAACATATGTTAATGCATAAATTGTCCAAGATTACTTATCAAAAAAAAAAAAAAAATGTCCAAGATTAGCTGTTTGTTTTCTTGTGAGCTTTATCTTTTGAGATTATTTTGAAAAATCTATTACTTTTCCCCTTTTCTCTATCTTCCATGGGTGACATGATGAGTAATTCTTTACATTGTTGTCTTATTACAAGGTGCGTGATCCAATGCCTGCTGTATTTTTCTTCATCATTGATGTATCCATGAATGCCATACAGACAGGTGCAACGGCTGCTGCTTGCAGTGCAATTAACCAAGTCATTGCCGATCTTCCTGTAAGTTTTATTTCTAGTATGTTGGGACATTTGTTTAATGCCTTATGGAACAGTGTATGATTTGATGATCTCTAATTGATTTAACCTTAGTTTCCATGAACCATACACAATGAAAATTCCCTATATCTGTGTATTTTTCAGCTCGAGTCATTGTTTAAAAATGTCAGAATCTTACAAAAAAGTGTTTTTTTTGAAGTGTTTACCGAGTATACGAGGGGCACAGGGGAAACCCTTTGCAAGTAAACTGCACAGAAGGGCTAAAGATACCATCTCCCGCTAGCCAGAATTTTACAAGCTTTAGTTGATGTCTATAGCCTCTAGCTTTTTGTATTTATATATGTTGAGCATTTATTGTTCAGACTTCAGAGGCAGCTTAATTTCTAAGTTCATCTAAAGCAGATTTCCAATGGAACACCTCAGCCTATATCATGCCACATCATTGATTCTTACTTCCAAAGTAGTATGCCTTCTTTTTCCTATCCTGCTAACCATTTAATTTGAATTCTTGGTCTTCTTGAATCAAACAAGTTCAGTCCTTAACATAGTTTGGCTGCGTCTGCTCTTTGCATGATACAAAGTGATGGGCTCTTTTTAAATGTTTGCACTCACTCCTCTATTTAAATGTTTGCACTCACTTTATATATATATATATATATATACATATATTTTTGTTGTTTGGTCCTATGCATTCAAGCATAGTTTCTTATACACATCCGTATTTTTTTGGGACTGCATTCAGCTGTGGAGGCTCTGGACTCTTTTCTTCTTCTGAGCTTCTTGATTGTATGTCTTGTGGGCTGTTCATTCTTTGTCATTTTTCCATCCTTTGTGAGACTTGTGTCCTCTTTGGACCTCTCTCTCTATGCATGTATATGTTTAAATTTAATTTTCACCAAAAGATGATTGATGATTGAAGCTTATTATGTTAATGCTCTCTTTATAGAGAACTTTTGTGGATTCAGTAGCTCTAGTTATTAATAAGTACTAGTATCTTCGCAAAAGGAGATGCTATCCAGGATATTTTTTATTGACAGTTGTTTTAAGGACTTGTGATGATAACTGTCAGAAAGACATGGCAGCTTGTTGACCTTTGTGGTAAATGTCAGGGAAACTGAAGATGCAATGAAAAAAGTTCCCTCTATTTGGAAAACCAATTCCTTACACTTAAAAATATCTCAACTGCTTTTCCCTCTCTTTCCATTCTATTTGTAGATTCTTTCAATTGTTTTAGAAGCTTTTTCTTTAATCTTCCATGTTGGACCGATCCTTTGGGCTCTTCTTGGACACCGGCTCATTTCCTTTGCTTTGAGATTGGGCTTGGAGATTGTCCCAATGGATATTGGGCCTGATGGTTAGTCATCCGATCAGGCTAAATGTTCTTTCCTGATCCAATCTTTAGTTATATGGGTTGTACCCGGCCCAGGCCAATTTTGGTATCTTCACCTGCCCTCCTAATCTCTCCCTAATTGATTAGAGTGAGATTACCGAAGAGTTGCAATTATGACATGACTGCTCGAAGCGGTGACGTGGGGAAGTGAATGGTTGGTTCAGAGGCCTACGTTTTGAAATTTGAAATATCATCATTGTCCCGACTCCTCGGTTAATGAATCCTTTCTTCTTTAAAACCCCTGACTTCGCATTTTATGCTTTTCTTCTATCTTCCCCATCAGTAACCAGATCTTCTTTGGCGCATCCTCTTTTTGCAATTCTTCATCTTCCATTTCGTGGCGGTACATTCGTCGGATCTTCTTTCGAAGGTTAATTTTATCCTCTGTTACTTCTCAAGGACTCTATTCTTTATTTTCTTTAAAACAAAACCAAATCTAAGGGTTTCCTTCCATCATTGCAATGGTTCCTGACTTAGAAACCCTTCGATCGAAGTACGAAATACCTAACAACGTTTCCATTAGGTTCTATCCCGAGGGTTTGGATGAGAGAACTGGTGAGGGTCTTCTTCCCAGAGAGATCCTCTTCTCCCTCCTTCACTTAAACGTAATCAGATTCCCTTTGCATCCGTTCTTTTGTTATGTTTTTAATAAATTAGGGCTTTCCCCTTTTCAAGTTAACCCTAACTTTCTTAGGGTAATATCAGTTCTCTTGATCTTAAATCGTGATAGAAATCTAGATCTTGACATCTTGGACCTTCTTCTTTGCTATTGAGTTACCAAAATCAGAACCAGTGATATGTACTTCCACTTCTTTCCCCTCAAAAAACAATCTATATACACGAATAAACTCGCCTCTGAAAAAGGTTGGAGAAGTAATTTAATTGGGGTTAGTGGGGCTTGGCAGACTCCAAATCGCTCGGATTTTCCCTATCTCGACCACTTTTGGGGAGTGTTTTGTCCCCTTATACAAAAAATATAAGAAACATAAGAACGACTGCCCTGTGAAATTTGTCTTCCTCGTTTCTGCACTTTCCTTTGCCGTTGCCTTGGCATTCCTTATGATGAATTGGTTTTCAGCGTTTGCAGGGCTAGACTTGATTTTTTGAAGGAGAAGGTGTTGAACGTCATTCCCTCTGCTTCCGATCTGCTCACTCCGGAAAATCTTTCTGACATATCAATCTTAGGTGCTACATACAGATCCCTTCCTTCAGCAGGAGGAGGAACCCTTCTGCAGCTGTTCCTGCGGCTACCCCAGCTGCTCTTGCGGCCATTCCAGCCGCTCCTATTGTCTCTCCGAACTCTGGCCAGCTTACTCCCGAATCTCTCACATCCATTCCAATCGAGGTTCCGCCTACCATGCCAAACGATAACCCTTCTGAGCCTTCTCCATCAACTGCTCCGAGTACTGAGGGATCCATTCCTGTCCGAACAGCTGCTTCTGAAAAAAGCCTGGGCAAGAGACCCCAGCCTGAGGGTGGGTCCAACCAGGATGACCTTCCTTTGTCTCGAAGGGCTAGGACTTAAAGGGTTACCACTATTCTCCCTTCATCACAGGTGTCCAATCCAGAAGGTGAAGCAGCTAGAACTTCTGCCTCCTCCCCCGTAGTGGTTCCATGGCGCCCCATACTCAAACGGGAAGATGGGTCGATCGTGGCTCCTACAGACTCTGTGCTCAAGGATGATGCCACTTCATTTGCTTTCTACAAGGGAATTTGGACCCCACAAGATCTAAAAACCCAGAAGGAAATGTCCTTTAATGAAATGTTCAACCGCTTTCCCTCGGCTGCTGTTAAGGTAACTCTTTTCTGCCTTTTGACAAACTTTCATTTTTTCCTCATTCAGACCCTTATATACTCATACTGAATGTATTAGAACGCTTGTGTCTTTATGTAGAGTCTGTTCGGGATGATCACCTTTCAGAGGAATCTTGAGTTAGCAAACAAGAGAATTAAAGCCCTCTCCCTCAGATCTGTTAAGAGTATGGCAATAGTAGAGGCCAAGAATACAAAACTGTTGGTCAAGCTAGCTGAATCAGAGATCGAAATAGACGCTCTAAAGACTGAAAAAGATGCTCTGAAGAACGAGTGAGGCTCTCTTCATAATGAGATGGACGTCTTGAAGACGGAAAAAAATGTTATGCAGACTGAGAGAGATATGCTGAAGGTTGAGAAGGGGAACCTCCAACGCTCTTTAATCTCTGAACAGCTAACCCGGTCTGTTTTTGAAGAGAAATCTTCGAATGAGCGTACTGCTCTGCCAAATGTTATAGGCAGAGTTGGTGGTATGAAGGCTCTTCACGCTCGCTTTTCTCGGATCGGGGCTTTTAGATATGCCGAGGGGTACTGAGATGGTTTTATTGATCATTCTCCTCCTGAAGGTTAAGCAAGCTCCTATGCTGGTCCTGATGATGTTGACGACTTTTTAAAGATTGACCCGCCGAATGTTTACACCGATCCACTTCCTGACCCTGCCGAACGTATATTCATATAGTGCAATGAGATTGCAACCTCTGGGGCTATCCCATCCGATCACCCTCTGAGTATCTCTCCCATCACTACTGTTGTTCCTCCTGCTGTTGTAACCAATGATAGAGCTCTGCCAACTGAAGAGGTCATTCATCTTGACTCTCTATCTAGAGGCGAGGAAATGATCAATGATGATGAAGGAGACAATGGACCAGCTAGAGATGATGAGGCAACCAATGATGGTGGAATGGGCAACGGATCGGCCACAGGAGAAGAGATGATAGATTAGAGTTTCACTGACCTCTGTACTTGTTTCATTTCATTCTGATATCACTTTTTGTATACCCAGAATTATTTTGTAATGATGAATGGAATGATAATTTAATCTTGCCAAATGTTCTTATTTCGGCATTTATTTGAACGAAATGATAATTTAATTTTGCCCAGTGTTTGGCGTTCGGCTCACAGTGCCATTTGCCACTTACTTGATTAAGTGCTTGGCGCTCGGCTAGAATGTCACTTGCCACTTGACTTTTCATTTTGTGCAAGTTTTTGGCGTTCGGCTCACAGTGCCATTTGCCACTTACTTGGTTAAGTGTTTGGCGCTCGGTTAGAATGACACTTGCCACTTGACTTTTCATTTTGTGCAAGTTTTTGGCGTTTGTCTCACAGTGCCATTTGCCACTTACTTGGTTAAGTGCTTGGCACTCGGCTAGAATGCCACTTGCCACTTGACTTTTCATTTTGTGCAAGTTTTTGGCGTTCGGCTCACAGTGCCATTTGCCACTTACTTAACTTTTACTAAGTGCTTTCTGCTCAACCAATTTTTGAAATAAAGTGAACTCTTTTTATAAATCTTGATGGATCGATACATTCATATAAGCATAATTCTAAATGAACATTGTTCAGAATAGAATTTAATCTTGCAATCTTATTCTATTGGAAGTACCATTTTAGAGACGTGGCGTTCCATAGTTTATTGACCAATCTTCTAGCTATGGTCTCTAGATTGTATGCCCCTTTCCTATGGCCTCTACAACTCTGTATGGCCTTTCCCAGGGTGACATCATCTTTTTGACGATTCCTACCTTATTTTTGCAGAACTAAGTCACCGGGTGCAAAATCTTTATGCTTCACCTTTTTGTTG